CTTGGGCTCCGGGAAAGTCAGCGCAGAGAAAGGGCCGTCAGGTGTCGCGTGTTTATTCACCTCAGCCCTCTTGGGTTGCTGTGGGTCCTTTGGGGAAGGTGCAATTAGTGACTGGGTTTGGAGCCTTAGAGAGTGGGACTGGAGGGAGTACACAGTTTGCGCCTTTTCTTCCCCTCCTGGAGAAATTGAGATTTACCTGTGTTTCTAGCCAAGAATGCATTGGAGGTAGTTATTGTTCCGTTTAGAGAAGTCAGTTCTCTAGGCTCTTATGGCCTCTATGTTTGAGCCTCTAGGTGCCAGTTGCTGTAGACTCTCCCTTTGGGAGTTAGCCTCCACCTCACCTCAGTCTGGATTTTACTAGTTGGGGGACTTAGCGCCCCCCTTCCCCTGAGAGGCATTTTACTGCTCCAAAGATATGCACATTCTCCAGTGTCTTCTGGTTGGGACCCACAAGGGGAGAGGGGTTCCTTTAAGGTTGAAAAAATAAGTTTTAGCCAATGATGTTGTTTTGCCTATTTCTTCAGTTCTTTCTACACCTTGATCCTCAGTCATAAAGTCGGGTTTGCATACTCTTGCTGAGGCTCTGTGGTCCTAAACGTCTTCAATAAAAAGAGCAGGACAGTTTGGGGGTGGAGAAAAGGGGTGTCATTTAAAAGGATGTTTGAAGAAGCTTTGAAAAATACTGGTTTCTATTCCCTTCTGCCTCTGCAAAGCTGCTGTCTGGTTGTTTTAGTTGGATTACTGGAGGTAACAGTACAAATACAATAAGGTGCTTTGTTTGTGAGCAGCTTTATTTATCTAAGTCGACACAATGGTTAGTAGTTATCTTCCATTTGATCCGTAATCTTTATTGGCATCTAGAACTCCTGCAGTTTCTTAGAGTAACATCATAATAAATCCATTCTGCTTAGAGTGATGTGGAAATTATTGAACATTCAGGGGCTGGATAAAGAAAGGAGAAAGGATGTGTGCCTGTGAGGTGGCAGAGTTTGTGTTTGTGTTTATTTTTATTTTCAGTGCTTGTATAATGGGAAGTAAGATTTTATTTTTGTGCCTTTTGCAGTTAGGTTTATAGCTCCTTTCCAAAACTTGACCAGTTGAAATTTTGATGGGCTTTGATGAATGGTTAAGGAATACATCCATCTTCTAATAAAGGTAGGGTTATGCATGACCTGTAGGAGGTAACATTTAGCATTTGTTAGCATTTTATATGAACATATAGACAGATACTCTAATTTTGTATTTCTTCAAAGCCATGACAAGAATGTACATTGCCAGGCTGTCTGCAGGTGATTGGGGATGATATTTGTTGGAATCTCTCTTTCTCCCCATGTCTGGAGAGCCACTGCAGAGGAGTTTAAACAAAAGAAAGCACCTTTGGAGTGCCTTGGTACTCTGCTACTGCCACTTGGCTGTTCACTTCAAGGCAAAATATACTTTAAAAAGCAATTTTGTTGTCTTAGGAAAATCAACTCAGTTGTTAGAAAATGTTGCTGTTAAGGTAACTTTGTTTGGGCACCTGGATAATGAACCAGTTGGCATATAAAGACCTTTCTTTTCTCTTTCCCACCATTTCTCTGCTTCTCTGTGTGTAAGTGGTGATGCTGCCCTGTATTTCCTATACTGAATGATTTTCTGTCCACCCTGAGGGAAGCGGGGGTGGTGGGTTGCTGTTCACATGGCATACACCTGCAAGGTGCGTTGAGTCCTTGATAACAGCAATGTCTTTCTTCTCAGTCTCTCTAGTGAGAGGCATTTGTTGATTGGACTTTACAATTTCACTTCAATTATCAACTGTGGAGTTTCTTCTTTATGCATTCTATAAGCCATTGTTTTAAAATGTTTATTTTTGGATTTTTATTTGTGTTGTGTGGTTCCCATGATGTGACAAGTCCTGGGAAAAATGCCAACTTCTATAGCCCAGGAGAGACCTTGTCATACTGTAATTACAATGATTCAAATTGCTAGAGGTTTCACTGTTCGTTGGGAATAGCTAGCTGTAAACTCAAGCAACACCAAGTATGCTGTTCCCTGGGATCTATTTGTTGACTTATCAAATCTCTGAAAATGGTAAGAATAAATGAAGAATAACATTTGTAAGGTTTCTTCTAGTACCTTTTGAGGTGCTGTGTCTTACTATATAGTGGATATAATTGATAGGATAAAGTTTAACTAATTGGAAATCAGAGGAACTGCAAAAATGAATTTAAGATCTGAGTACAGTATGTTAAAAGGAAGACTTATACTCTAAACTATTAGTAGTGACAAGTTAATGCCCTTGCTTTATATACAGTAGCTAATAAGCTGAGGAACCCTGGATCTGAGTGTGAACTGTTCAGCCATGAAGATGGATGAGTCCTTAGCTTTGTAATCCTTAGTTTAGAAAAAGCAAATTGATTTTCAGGTTGATTTCCTTTACTTAACTATAATATTATGAGAACTTGTAGAGGAAGAAATTATAGTATTTTCAACTTGTTGCCAAATGAGAATTATATATACCATTTCAGAATTGAGCTAATTGGATTTGAATTAATGAGGTTTTACTCTGTCACAAAGATGTGTGGGAGACCTTTAATTTGAAACTACTGGCATACAGTCCTAGAAAAAGAGATTTTGATGAAATAGTGCAGCCTAGAATATCCATTAGCTAATGAAGAATAGGCAGGTCAGAGTTGATGCATTTTCAGACTATCTATTTGCAGGAAAAGACCATATCTTATGTATTATTACCAAAGATTTATGCTGGTCTGATATGACTGAAATGAATAGTTATATTCAAAACATTCCATTTAAAATATTAATGTTTTCATTTTCAGTCAGATCTAAGTTCAGTGAACTTCCAATTATAGCCATCCTTACTATTGCAATCTGTTCTGTTGACATTTATGATGTGAAAGCTGTTGCTTATTATTTTATGAAAGCTAATTTGGCCACTGGTATGATTTGATAGCCTTCTATTTGTTGCCTTTAGCCCTTTGAGTGGGCAGATGAAACATAATCAGAATACCCTTACAGCTCTCCTTTGGTTTAGGCATTTGTGATTATATAGCTCGGGTTTGTGCCTCTTAAAATAATTTGGATAACTTTTTATTAAGGTATCTAGTATTTGAAAGTTTATTAGTTGAGGACTTTGTGTATGTCCTGTATATTTTGTCTTTAGAGGCATTTAAAAATGTACAAATTAAAGGAATATGGGTGGGCGAATCTCAGTTGCATATGGTTCTGATGGGAATTACACTGACCAGTGACCAGGGTGAAGCAGCACAAGCCACTTGATAGATGAATTACTGGAGGAATCTCATCTGTGGCTGGTGAAAATGTCAACTGGGCATGGGAAGTTTGGCTAAAATTGATTACCTTTTCAAATGTTTATATCATCGAACCCAGCAGATTTACTAGGAATTTTCAAGTAGGCATGACCTTGAAAGTATACAAACAGATCAAATATTTCTTGTGATTTTTTTTTCTTGGAAAAAAATAAAAAAGGAAGCCACATAGGGGACTTCAAGTGAGTGCACGTAAATGATGATGATCTGTAAAAAGTGGCAAATTTATGTTTAAATGTCAGGACATCTTAAAGAGCTATTAGCTGGTTAGGCAACTTGTTGTCCAGGTGGTCCAATAAGGAATGTGCCTCCTCAAATTGTACATTGTGTATGTGAGTGAAGAGATTCTGGATGCTGGGCATCGGTCGTGCCAATGGCTGCCTTGAGTGGATGCCTCTTATGTTAGTGGTGATGGGATTTTACTTGGAAAAAAACCCCATATGTTTAAAAGATCATGATGATCAGATATTACTCTTTAAGACTGAAGTGGAAAGAATATAAATCTAATATAAGAGATTTCCCTTTAAACAGCAAAGCATATAATCAGGTAAGAGTGGTCTTTAGCTATGGAGGAAGTACTCTTGCTTCATGGTGAAGAGGAATAAGGGCTAGGAAGAACAGACTTGTCCCCAAAGCTGGGTTAGGTGATACCTTGGGTCATCACTTTTTTTGTTGTTATTATTCTTTTTAAAATTTAATTTGTGTTATGAGAATAGTTGTAGAGCTACAACTTGTAAATCCAAGGTTAGATATGCCATTATTCTGAAACGCATGAAATTAATTTCAGGCTGTATTCTCACAAATCAGACTTCAGAGGGCCTTTCTGGCTAAAACTAACCAATCTGTGCCCTGTCATTATATATTGTTTTTAATAATTTTATTTTATGTGCATTGGTGTTTTTAGCCATTTCTCTAGCCGAAGTATATATTGTTTAAAAAATTTTTTTTAAACAACAAAAACTAGTGAGAAGTAGCAGTGCCTTTAATGTTTGGTTTCCTCTGTATGATTAGTGGCTACAGTTTCCAGTCAGTTGTGTTGCTTCATACCACACAGCTCCAGATATACTGTGTTCTTTGGAGAATGAGACAAAGAAACTTAGAGCCATTGTGAAAAGAGCTGTATTGTCACCATCCTGAGAAATAGATCTGAGGAGCAGTGTATAGTCTGCAGAAGACACTCCAGACTAATATAAATCAGGCATTAAGCATACAGTCTGACATGGAAAGAATACCTACCAGGTCCAAAGTGAATTCTCTTTGTAGTCATTACTATTGTTGCCAATAATAATACTCATGTTATAGAAGAAGAAACAATAGTTACCTCACTGTTTCTTTTCACAAAAGGATACTCCAAATTGGAGTTTGACTGAATGTATTTTATAGATGATTTTACACTCTGTTTGATGATATAATACTCTTTGTATTATGCAGAGGTTTGTTAGTAATTATTTTAGATGACCCCTGCAGAACTTCCTCTGTGAACTAAGAATGGTGAGGCACCAATTGCTTCTATAATTTTACCTCAGAGATGGCACACCTGACTCTCTCTCTCTCCTCTTCCTCCTTCCT